CTCAGATGGCGGGCCCTCATCATGTGCTGGTCCTCAGATGGCGGGCCCTCATCATGTGCTGGTCCTCAGATGGCGGGCCCTCATCATGTGCTGGTCCTCAGATGCCGGGCCCTCATCACGTGCTGGTCCTCAGATGGCGGGCCCTCATCATGTGCTGGTCCTCAGATGGCGGGCCCTCATCATGTGCTGGTCCTCAGATGGCGGGCCCTCATCTGCTGCTGGTGGTCGGGCTGCTGGCCGTCGCCAGCTCGAGCGCCTCGCCCGCCTACCCAAAGGCCCACGGCAAGGGCCTCTGTGGCCGCGAGCTGATCGACATGTACCAGATTGTCTGCAGTCTCTGCCGCTACACTGAACCGCCGAGCGTCGCAGGTGATTACAGAGAGATGTGAACATGTGTCAGATCGTCCGCAGTCTCCGCCGCTACACTGGACCGCCGAGCGTCGCTGGTGATTACAGAGGGTTGTGAGCATGTATCAGATCGTCCGCAGTCTCTGCCGCTACACTGGACCGCCGAGCTTCGTAGGTGATTACAGAGGGATGTGACGCCCGTCACTCTCCGATGGCCGGAGTAGGCGCACTCCACGCCATCACATCTTCTTAATTGATTTGCACGTCAGAAGGCAACTACTACTGTACCTTCATAGAGGTCTTCGGATGCCTTTGTATTTAGGGCATGATGCTTTAGCCCTTTTTACACGAGGTGGAGAGGGGCGAATGGCTCCCCCAGTAGTTTTCTTATTTCCCCATCAAACAGCTTCAGCCAGAGGGTGGTATTTGCTGGCTCTTTCTGACCATGAGTTGCGCACATTCTAACAATACATTGGCTCTCTAGTCTCTTCACCAGGGGTAACACCAAGGTTTGTGTGAATATCGTCAAACTGAATACGTGTGTCTCTGAAAGAATGTGTTGGCAGATTGTTTCCGTCTACTGAAACCGTACTATGAACAGATTTCAGGCATTTGTAACTTTGCATTGAAATGGCGTCACATATTAACGTGACATCACAAATGATTCTTTGCGACGTCTCTTGAGGACTATAAACGGACTGAAGAGTTCATAGAATATACCTTGGGTGTAGCGCCACGATGAATTGACATTGATTTCGGTACCGTAGTTAGTGCATATTTACTCGCATGATAGCTGTGAACAAAGGGTTTATCTTCATCATGGATGCGGCGATAATTGCTCGAAGACAGGCTGAAGTAGATAAATGAAGAGGCAGTGACAGATCAGATAATGGTACGAGGAAAAGATGGCTTGTGTTTCAGCTGGGGCAATTTAAAATAGGCTGTCTGTTGATAAAGAATCGAAAATTACTACATACAAAGCTCACTTCAATGCCCACGGAACTCCAAAAACCTTAAAAACTTAAAGACTTACTCAGACTCAATTCTTAAGGGCCTCAAAGGTCTCATGGATGGGAAAAAACATTTTGAGATATCTGACACTCCTGGGAAACAGGTCACCCAAGCCAAGCCATCTAGGCGGCTGTTAGCCAAGCTGATATCTTCTTGGCTTACTAACTGGCTTTATCGCCGTGATACAATATTTCCCTTGGAAAAGTCATTTCCGTGTCTAGCCGTGCAAGTTTACAGCGATTGGTCCTGGAGACCTCAAGGCGATCTCGCTCGCTCTCTAATTGGTGTGCTCTACTGACCCCGTGCCTCAAACGATGCATTCGCTCTTCACCGGTTAATTATCACGGAATCTCACGTAAGTTCCGTATCCCGTGGTCGTGATGGCACCTTTTGAATGCTCTATGAAGGCTCTAACATGAATCATCTGGTGCCAAATAGACTGAATGCTCAAAAACCTACTGAAGCACTGAACTGCTCCTGGTGTTGGCCGCGAGGGTTAGCGCTGTTGTGTGGAGCGGGCGATGGTGAAAGTGGTTGTATGAAATGCTGTCAAATGGAAACATTGCACTTAGGTGATAAATCATCTATTGAGTGGTGAGAAGAGTTGATGCGATCAAAGGTGCCGCCAGGATTGCCTTAGCGGCAGGGGGGTGGGGGTCTCAGTCGGCACCTAAGAGAACCGAAAGAACCGCCTGTGGTGCGAAAGTAAGAATTTCTTACCTGAGCCCCCCCCCCCCCCCATGCTTTGACTGCACCTCTGGACACGAGCGAGGTTGTCACTAGTTTAAGTTATCGTGTCAGGAAGTTGCATTTGCTAGAATTAGTGCCTGCCAGATGGGTACAGCGGAGCGAAATGCATTAGGGCAGAGGTTAGTAACAGGTACCGATGCATGGAACGATTCGTGCGCACCTTGGAACTGCGCCAAAAGTGCATCTTCTCCAACTTCGTATATCCTACATGTGCCGCTTTGTGAGGTAATTCTAGTGGTTTATACAAGGGTCATAGTGTGGGATAGGGGAGGAAACGCTACTATTTTCACCTCACTATCGTACGCGCCACAATGTGCTCAGCGCCTTAGGTGACCAGCGCAGCGAGGCCCTCTGGACTGCTTGGCCTTCTCTCCGGCTGTCGAGGCCCTCCGAGCCTCGTCGGGACGGTAGTGGCGGGTGTCCTGTGATGATGAGTCCAATGATGATGTGAGGGCAGGGGTAAACATGCTTTTGACGAGGTATGTTTTCTTCCAGTGTCACAGGCCTAGCGTTATTTCTCGCGAAATTGCGGAGAGCGCCTGCCTTTCTGCTTTTTACCCCTCCTCGTTCACCGCCCGTGAGTCTTATGTTCTGACGCGGCGTTTCGCTGATACTTCGTTGCTGTGTGATGCTCTCAAAGTGCTGGTTCTCGCCTGACAAAAAATTTTGCATTTTTCAACAGATCGCATGCCTCAACAGCAAAACGCCATTGACTACCCAGCGTCCGCACCACAAGGCTTGGCTTCGTCAAATGGCCGACAGATGTCCCAGCGTGCGGCGGCTCAGCCGAATTACAACAGCCTCGCCAAGAAGCGCAACACCGAGGTTTCTGGTCGGGTGCTGTCAGCGTTCGCTGCCCGTCCGAGGAGGAGCGAGGAAGTACTTCGGCTGGCGGATGCCTGCTGCCGCCAAAACTGCGACCTGGAGACATTGCTGGAGTTCTGCTAGTGGCGGGCCTGAGCCTGGTCCAGGCCCGGTCTGGGGATTTCGATTCAGTTTCCTTTCGGGCTCGCGCTTGCGGTAACTCAGCCCGTAGCCCAGCGATTATTTCCAGCCCAGGCTTAGGCGCTCGTCTCATTTCATGAACTGTCCCAGCCCATGAAGCGAACTGAGACAATTCACACACTGAAAGTGCTTCCGAGCTCAGGCTTCCTTCCTGCAGTCGGATTTATAGCTGTATTCTGGTCGGTGCGCTTACCTCTGAAATATCTGGGCGATCGGCCGGCGGCTGGAGTGAGCGGCTCGACGTCCTCAGCCGCAACATGCTAATGAGCTCAAGTGCACGAGCCAAAGTCAGTCAGATGAATACAGCAGGCCGAACGGATCGTGTGATACGAGACGCATATCCCAGTGCGTGTGTGTACAGCATGCACGTCTTCCCTTGGGTTGTCTTCTGTTTCGTATTCCTTAGAAAGCGTTCATTCTGGGCTTGAAGAGAGTGTTCGGGTTTTCTCCATGGAAGCCTGGTTACTGCCTGAGATATGTACAACATAACGGCACTAGTACCCGAGATTATCCAAAGCTATGCTGGAAAGGCTCGCAGCTCTGTCGCAAACGTGGAGCTTTCGGCAGCGAGTGCCAACACTTCAAGTAAGCAGCGTCGGCTCTTCAACCGCGTTGGCAAGTTTTTCAGTGGGAGATGAAAACTTCGTCACGTGAAACAACTAAAAAGTAATTTGGAACCTTACGACTCACTTTCCAGAATTGCTAAAACTGAAAAGGCTCACCTATGCTGGTGTTTCGCAGTAATTTGACTAACGAGTGTGTAGGCGAGTATGCTATTTCTGTGAGCTATATGCAGTTACAAAAGCTCTGCGTTTCCCATTTGTTTGAATAAATTCTGCACTGAAAATCTACTGCCTTTTCAGTCATGCTGTTGCTGTTTTTATTGTCATATCAGCCAATCTGGCAGACAGTATGCTTACTTCACTTAATGCACACAAAACCCGATAACATGCAAGCCCCTCGAGTCTACCGGATGAATGTCACCTAACGTCTTTTCATTATGGATAGATTTATCACTACGGCAACAACCCCCAAATCGCCGAGCAGTCGGTTACAAACCGAAGAAAGCTCCACCGCACCCTTCGTTACACAAAAATGAAGGTTACTTTATCATACATCAATGCAAATCAGGCGCATAAGCAAAGACGCCTGGGGATCACCGCACGCTAAAGCGCTGTTGGGCTCTTGGTCGCCGGGCCCGGACGTTTTGTTTTATGCCTCCATTTGCGACGCGTTTCATGCTCAGCAACGTACAGACAATGTGTTGGACTACACCTAGCGACACGCATGTCAACGGTCGATGTTTTACGTTCATTGTTCTTGGAGGGACGGCTTGCACGAAATATATGTTGGACTGGTGCGAAAGCAAACTTATTGATGGAAGACCTTAGCCCTGCACGAAGCTGGAGTGAACTGTCGTCGCATGAAAGTCATGCGGGAAGGAAAGAAAGCTCATTTGCTGCGACCAGCGATCACAAAGCAAAGTGTCAATTTTCCAGACAAAGCTTCGTCGTGGCTAGAGACAGTGCTATTTGGAATTTGCATAAAGCGTCCTTGAGCATAATTTCGTTATATCAATCCTCCCAATGAGAACAAACCGATAATGAACAAAACCGATAATGAAATTAGTACGCCCCAGTCATGCTACGAGTAACACACAGGAGCGATATATCGCATTCTGTTAAGGCCCACGATAATGCCAGCAAATTGTTTCGATGGGTTGCATGCAACTGCACGGCTAAACTCACTAGGATTGTTTTTAAAACGTCGAACTCTCCTTCCGAAGCCATTCCATGGTTTCTACGGTGTATTTACAATGGACTATCACATCAATGCCCCCCATATCCTCCATATCCACCGTACGGACTGCTGTAGCCGTATCCGCCATGACCTTTACCCGCCATAACCATGTCCGCCACCGTATCCACCATAACCATATCCTCCATAATCAGCGTGGCCGTACCCCGAGTCGTAGCCGCCATAGCCTCCTCCGTAACCACCGTATCCGCCATAGCCTCCTCCGTAACCACCGTATCCGCCATAGCCTCCTCCGTAACCGCCGTATCCACCATAGCCTCCATGGCCACCGTATCCACCATAGCCTCCATGGCCACCGTATCCGCCATATCCGCCGCCATAGCCTGCAACAGAAGCATCAACGTCAGAAAATCAGAAAATATGTCAGCGACGATCAGTCTTGGGGAGCTCCTCCGGCTGCATGAAGAAAACTGCCAAACTATTGTTTCGTAGATGCGACCGCCAAAGCGTCACACATAAGGCACCTATATCAGCAAGTCACTCTTTGAAAAGAAATGCACAATGTATCACGTTTGTGAAAAACGGCTTACGGAATACCAGACTTGTAAGGAAAACACGTAGAAGTGGTTCAATTTCGAAAACATACACGAATCGGACCACAAACCAAGAACAGTCGCATGTGCCCGTCAAAAACGTGCGATCGAGGGAACTTTGGGAATATTCTGTGGCCGTCATCATGGAGGGAAGCATGAAATGTATAATTAGAACAAAGACCAATACTTTGTAATTTGTGTGCTTACTTTGTGCAGCGCAACCGACTTAAACAGATAGCATAGTTCATCTCGTCAGGTAAGGAATCTGCTACCATTCTAGAAGTAGCTGGGGATAAGTGGCACAGTGCTAAACTCGGCACTTGATCGTAAAACAATGCCGGAAAACTGGTCGAACTGCGAAACTGCGCCACCAGAAGTGGCCGCAAAACAATAACGAAAGCGTAGGTCAACCAGTGTGAAAACCGCGCTCTCGTAGCGAGGTGGGGAGCGATGGAGGGGTAGCGTTACGTGCCAGGTCAGATAGGTCAGGTCACGCCGAGGTCGTCCGGTCAAGATTGGGATCAAGTCAGATCAGCGCCAGGTCAACCACCCACGCAGCCCTGGTACTCTGACCGCACCAAACCCGCCGCAAAACACCGAGTGAAAGCTCGTAGTCCCGTAGAGGAGAGTCTGGTCAAGGTCACCTCACTTCCGTGCGAGACGGCAGAGGAGGGTCGGGTCAAGGTCAGCTCACCTCCGTGCGAGACGGCGGAGGAGGGTCGGGTCAAGGTCAGCTCACCTCCGTGCGAGACGGCGGAGGAGGGTCGGGTCAAGGTCAGCTCACCTCCGTACGAGACGGCAGAGGAGGGTCGGGTCAAGGTCAGCTCACCTCCGTACGAGACGGCAGAGGAGGGTCGGGTCAAGGCCAGCTCACTTCCGTGCGAGACGAAAGAGGAAAGTCGGGTCAAGGTCAGCTCACCTCCGTGCGAGACTACATGCCCACCAGTGTCGGCGCGGGCAGCGGCGCACCAGACTATCAAGAGCAGCAGAAGCTTCATATTTTCTGCGGTGCGGAAGAACACCACTCGTAAGAAAGTGCGAGGTACAGCAACTACTCATTTGAACAATAGGGACGGAAACTCAGATCATGCGAATCCTAAAAGTGCAGAGCGAGTGTCTTTTACCACAACGCCGCCTGTGAAACTTGATATTGGGGTGCGACAGAATTAGCGAGTTAACCAGTTAACCCCGATTTAATCTTAATTAACGCGATTAACTAACTGTGCGGAGATTACACGCCCACCCAGCACATCTAGGGTGTGAAATAAACGGTCAAGCGCTTGAGAACAATCGGGGACGCCGGAGATAAATGCAATGTTTTTTTTTCTGCAAACAAAACCCAATGAAGAACTTGCAAATTGTAAATAAAAGGATTCATAGCACGAACACGTAACATCAACGAAATTCTTCTGACCGATCTGATCAGCACTATCAACGTGAATGCACACCAAAGCAGGGTTACCTCAGACGCTCACCGGTTCAGGGGAGGACGTGGCGGCACTGCCCTCACTCGGTGCTGCTGGATCGCCGTACTGTGCCAGGGCGGCCATGTGAACGAAGCTTGTCGGGTGGAAGCGAGCGCCTGGCCTGGTAGGCTGTCCCGCCCGACGCCACGCTCTCCGCGCTGATTGGCTGAGAGATGACCTGCGCTTGTACATTAAACTTGCGGATAAATTAAGGATATGATGAGGTTTGCGTGAACATTTTACACGGGAACAGCCCGGACACGTTGAACATCATGCTAAAAAAACGGCAAGCGAAAGAGAGTCCGAAAATAGTTTTAAAACCGATGAAGAACCATGACCTCGACATCGGCCGAACGCACCCGCTGCGGGAGGCCACCACGCGGCCGCCGGGCGCGAAGCCGGCAGAGGTCAGCGGGGTCAGCGGGGACAGAGGCGCCGCCGTGCCCTCTCGGTCACTCTGCCGACTCGCGCTCACCAGCCGGAGGGCCGCCATGAACGGTACGTTCCGCTGAGGTGGGAGTCGTCTGCGGATGGTAAGAACGTGATGTTTCAAAACCAAATTAGCATTTGCAAAAGCTTTTGTAGCGCAGTTCTCAGCTGACTGGGACAATCAGACGCTTAGTGCTGGTAACTTAGCTAAACACAGTATGAGATGGTTAGCTACTTTAAACTATACTATTGCACGAATGGGCCATGGTGCCCTCCTCCACCAAAGTAAAACTGGGTACAACACAAGCTACATAAAATTTGGTTTGCTGGGCAAAACTTATCAAAGTCTTATGGCGAACTATTTATGCTTTGATTAAAGATCAGAAAACCATGCATATATGTATACATTCGTAGACTAGACACTTTTTGTTTTTGAGTTTGAGTTCCATGCAGTGAATATGCAGTTCAAAAGTCCACCTGTGTCCAAATTCACTACGGTAGATTGACGAGGGCTGCGTATGTCTAATTCAAAGCACATTGATGTGACGCATCATCCAGAAGGAACACCGAATTGTTATATAAGTCGTTGCTTGATAGAGATACGACCTAATTTCTCACACCGGGCTTCTCGAGCGAGAAGTGCGAGCTGTGGCGTCCGGTGACGGTCCGCCTGCATTGGCACGCTGCGTCGCCGACATCCTCGACATCGCTGGCGTTTTTGATCCGGCTCAGTTCGTCGGTAACTGGTTTCGTTATTCCCGATCTATAATCACGTGCGTTGCCGAGCAGAAACTCTGAAATTCAAAACTCAAAAACTCAAAAACTATGCTATCCTTAAATCAGTGTCTCTTGCTGACTTGGTTCGCTGGCCAAATTGCTTTTTCAACAAACAATCACGAAGTCGCTGCGCTGGTTAAGAGTTCGCTGGGAAATGGGCATTGTCATCGGGCAGCATGATGATTAGCTCCGTCGAAACAACAGTTCATCCGCTGAGCTATGATGTGCCAGGCTTGGCCGAACGAACCAGCTGGAATTGTACTATATTGCGATGCAGCTCTTCAGCGCTTTCCCGTACTAACGCGTCTTCCGCAAGTATCCGCCTCTTTTTTACCAACGACCGCTTCTAGTGTGCACTAACTAGCATGCTAAACGCAAAAGTCTTACCTTTGAAGAGCGTTTGTATTGGGCTCATGCATTTGGTTTGTTCAGTATTTGTGGGAAAAATCTGCACCATAGAGGCGCATACTGCCGCCGTTTTTCTTCAGCCGATCACGCAGCCATGTGCCGAAGGCGGGTCCGGGCGCCAGGGGTGCGGACGCCAGGGACGGAATTTGCCGCCAGCCCGTGAACACGTGGAGTCATCGGGTTCGCGGTATTTTGGCGCTAATTTGTCTGGAATCCCTCACTCACTCCATGAATGATTTATTGGAATTTTTGACGTGGCAGTGTGCTCCGACCCGGGTCGGAATATCATTTTGCTCGTGTGGTCACGCTGGTTGGTCAATGTTTGCTCGTGTCCCGTGTCTACAGTGATGGCAAAAGCGAATGGCGAGGGACCGGACATCCAAGCCCGTTTCTGCCCTTGGTAATTGCGTCCGTCTTGTACTTGCAGCCATGTGATATAATTAATGTCCCAATCGACGCCGCGACGCGCATATCAATTGAGCAACATTCACGACGTGCAAGAACGCGGTCTGAGATGCCTCCGCACTCCTGGCGGTTGCCGTTCATGGCTTGTTTTGCTCCGGTGACCTAAGGTCACAGCCGGGGCAGAGAGATTTATCACCGTTCGCGGCCTGCTTCCAGCGCCGCTATTCTGCTCGCTGCTGGCGGCCGCGCTGTGCGCATGCGCGGGCCAGCCGTTCGCTCCGGGGGCGCCGTTCGGCGGCTGGCCGGCGGCACGCGACGCCCAGGGTCACGCCTCCTCCGGGCACGGGGCTGCGCTCGGGACCGCCTCCTCTCAGCAGGGCGGAGCAGGGTTCGGGCCGCTGGGCGACTCGTACGCGCACATCTCGGACAGCTATCAGGTAAGTGACTGAGTGACCCACAGAGCGAAAGTGTTGCACGGAGTGGGAGCTCTGCGTTCCCCACTGACCAGCCGAATTACGTGAAATTTATAATTGCGTTTAGTCTTGACAAGATTCATCCCTATTCGATCATCCGTAAAGTTTTGTTAGGGAAGCTCACAAGCAGTGTTCAGCATGCATGCGGCCGCTCGCCGATTAACGTACGGATATTGCAGCTACGATATTACAGCTACATCACGTTCCATGCAATCGTTAGTCTTTCATGACTGATCAGGGTTGTATGACCAGCGGCAGTCCAAGCCCAGGTCCATAAGGACAGAGGTGGACTGCTGGTCTGTGTTGTGCGCGCCGGTATTAATACCCTCCACTCCATGTTGTTTCTCTGCTTGGGTAGTCGAGCTATATCGTGCATCCCGGATAAGCCGTTTGTGTGGAATTAGTGTTTGATAACTAACGGTGAGCATTGCATGAATTTCTTACGGTGAAAAGGGGCCCTGGGAAGCAGACATTTGTGCTTCAATGGGTCATAATGTTAATTTCCCTCGCACCAGATAGCAGGCACGCTCATTCTGAGCACGAAAGTGTCCTGGCACGTTGCTTTACGGGAATGTCTTTCCGCCTAGTCTGCCACTCGCCGATCTTCGGCTTGGCTATCACCTGGCGGAAAAGGTTAACAGCGATGTTTCGCAAACTCTTCCGCGCCCCCCCCCCCCCCCCGCTCCCCCTCTGACATCCCCACTCCGCTGATATTCCTAGTCCTCTGACGTGCTTGGTTCGACTCCTATTTCACCGTGGCGTTCCTAGTCCGCCGTGACGTTTTTAGTCTGCCGTGACGTTTCTAGCCCGCCGTGACGTTTGGCTGTGGTGTCCCAAGTTCACCGTGAACGTTCCTAGTCCGTTGTGACGCCTCTTGTCGCTCGTGATGCTTGTACCAGGAGTGTGCTGTTGTACTCTTGATGCTCGTTACAATTTACATGCGCTGACGTCTGTCGGCTTTATCCGCGTCGGGCGGGTTTGTCGAGTTTTAACCGTGCAGGTTCATGCCTCCCGGTGTCACGTCACAGCCCATTGCCAGTTTTGCCCCATGCCATTTCCCACCAGATGGCAGTGCTTACATCGGTTCTTACCCTATTATTACATGTATTACCACACTGTTCTGACTCCTCCTTTCGGTAGGAGTGTCCGTACGGCACGGTGTGCGTCGACGAGTACTCGTGCCCGCCGTACGGCCGGTCCGGCCAGACCGGGCCCGTTCACCCTCGCTCCGCCCAGTGAGTGTGCCGCGGGCCGGCTCCGCTCGTCCCGCTCAGACGCCACCGTGCAGCACACCGCGTAATGTTTCTTGGGCTCTTCCTCGTCATGCTTCTGATATCACTATTGTGCGGATGCTCGCGGATGGCTGCAGCATGACGTAGGCAGCTCCTTCACCCGGCACGGTCGGTGCCTGTCTTACGAGTGGATAGCCTTGCGTGCTGTCCTTGTCTTTCACGCTTCTTTTGACTCCTGTCCGACGCCGTGTATGTTGCGCTCCTACAGGTTCGGTGAGGGGCGCTCCTCGTCCAGCTGTGGCTACAACAAAATCTGCTGCAAAAAGGAGTTCATTCACAAGGAAGCGCACGGCTGCCACGGGCCGTACTGCCCGCCGCCTCCGCACCACCACCCACCTGGCTATCCACCGCACTCGCCGTACCCCAAGCCGTACCCCAAGCCATACCCCAAGCCGTACCCTAAGCCGTATCACGAGCCGTACCCTAAGCCGTATCACGAGCCGTACCCTAAGCCGTACCCCAAGCCGTACCCTAAGCCGTATCACGAGCCGTACCATTCGTACTCTGGGTACGGCGGGGACGCGCCGTATGGTGGCGGCCACTCCTCGTACGGAGGGTATTCGACTTATCAGACACCCTTCCCAAGCTATTCGTCGGGTTATTCAAATGATCACGGCTACTATCCCTCGGGGTATTCTGATCATTACTCTGGCTATTCCTCGGGCTATGGAGGAGGGTATTCGTCATATCCGTCGTACAAGACCCCATACCAGTCCCACTACCCCTCGTATTCCACTTATCCTTCGTACCCCTTGTATCCTTCATATCCTCATTATCCCTCGTATCCTTCGTACTCGCCCTACCCTTCCTACCCACCCCACTACCCCTCTCCGTACCCGCAGTACCCTAGTCACTACGGCGCGATCCCGTACTTCTCGGCCGCTGCCCAGGGCTCTGCCCCCGAGGATGATGACCGACCCCCGGTCGAGGGTCAGCAGTCAAGCCAGGGGTCACCAACCCGCGGCGGCGCCAGCGGGCCGGTCGACCTCGACCCGCCAGTCCCAGTCGGCGCCAGAACGTCGCGCATGTTCTGAAGGGTTGAAACTCCCCTGCAGCGGCTGTACTGCGCTTTACCGAGCGGGCGCGCGGTCCAAACAGCCGTTCGAAGCGGCGAATGCTTGGCGAACGCTTGTTATAAGTGGAGTATTGCTGTCGAAACCGAGGGGACAGATTTGGGGGCTGTTATCGTGATTGTTTTGTTTTGCAATGGACTGAATATACTAGAGGTGTCTGGCACTTTCTTTTCGTAGTTTGTGCACATGAGAAGATGCGTGCCACGTCTGAGAGAATTGCTTCTCCAGACTTCATATTACAGCTCTTCCTTCACTCGAACTTATCAAATGGGAGTGGGGGAAGTATGCCTGGCATCCATGGAATGCACTGCGACATGAATTCGCAAAACACTTGTCCGGACTGTAAGCCAATGTTACCGGTACGACAGGTCTTGATAGCACTAAGTAAATCATTTTTGGTAGGCCTCGAAATGCGATACGGTGTTGCCAGTGCTGCCAATTTAATGTCTGCATTACAGGCAATTGAGAAGCAACGGCTGAAGAATAACGGGGACAGGCTGAGAAATACTTGAAACAAAATCACCTGAAAACATTTTTCCGTCACGATCTACAAGGAAGTTCATAAGCTTCAGTCGTGCTGAGCTGGCTATAGTTTTATAAAAAAGATGCATTTTTTCAAGCGGTTAAGTCAGTTTATTTCACGGACCAGTTCTATGCAATTAGTGACTGCATTCCTGGTCAAGACAGCGCTGCTCCATTACGCCTTTAGACGGCGACTGGAATCTGTGGTTGGTGCAGAGGCGTCCATTTCATGAAACTTTGTGTTGATGCACCTATTGCAATATCCCTCATAAAACGCGAAACAGTGAGGAAACCGAGAGTATATTTTACCTTAAAGATTCACGGATAAGTTGATGCAGGCGAGAGGGCAAACACAGTACACCCTTATGGAATCGATGATGACCGCAATCACCCGACAGTGGCGCAGAATTATGGTGTTTCCTTGCCGCCTACACTACCCGGATGGCCTGAAATCAGTTGCACCACGAATCGACAGCGTACATCGTGTCTCATAACGCCTAATCTACGTCCGCGCAGGAACACTGCAGAATGAGGTCGGCACTGCAGGTAAGTAGAGCTTTGCCTTGGTAATACGAAGGCAAACAGTCCGTAACATAGAGACGGCACCACAGCCAGTTGGGTCTGGAATAGAGCTCTGCACGGCCCGTTGCGCACCATCCCACTGTGCAGAGAAGGCCCTGACGGCGTCTGGGCAGCGCTCTCTCGGCTGGGCCTCTGACGTGGGGCCGGGGCGTCACTGGGCAGGGCTGAGGGTAGGTTCGTTCGGAGCAGCCCGCTGCGGAGCCGACGAACACCAATATCGTCAAAACGCCGCAGAAGCGTGCGCCGTAAGGTGTCTGTTTTTGTTTTGTTTTTTGCCGCGGCGACCTAGTCGTAGCCGGGGCTGGGGGAACTTCTTCTGGCTTAAGGCCAGGCAAAAAGCTACCTTAAGCCAGCTTGTGATATCAGGCGCAAAGCAAGGGACAGGGATAAGTTATGTCACGTTAAACCGGCTAATTTCGTCCGGTAGCAAATGCAAAGTAAAACACGAGACACACACACATTGATTGTGTTCAACAAACGCAATACGTTTGGATGGCGGACGACCACCTCATCGCAGCAAAGGTTTCCCGCACGGCAAACGGCGGGCCCCCGGCTCGGCGGTCAAGTCCGTCAGCGACCTGAGCTGGGTCGCTCCCCACACTGAATGGGGGCAGCGGCCCGGTGCGACCTTGCCGTGTTGTGTAGTGTAATCCCGAAAAAGTCCTAAGCACAAAAAACTGGACTCCTATACCTATGGGAAAAACCAGCACGCTTATGTCGAATTGTGCTCGGAAAACACCCTTTGCAATTGAGGAAAACCAGCACGTTTTGGCCGAATTATGCGTGAAAAAAATTTCACGGCGATGAGAAAAACCTGCTCGTTGGCAGAGGAGCAGGTGAAAACCTCGCAACATTTACGTTGTTACATGTAATTATCTAAATTGTTTTTGTGTAGGCATTCGAGGAGGAGCGTCAAGAGTTCAGGATGTGTGTCGCCCAGTATCGTAGGCAGCGTCAATAGGAGTCTGTGTTTGTTTGTGTACTGCACGAGTTTTTCACGGCAGCGCCTGTAGACTGGGCACGCCAGCATGAAATGTGCTATCGTGTATGGTGTGTGGCAGTAGTGACAGAGTGGTCGTGGGTTACGTTCTATGATGCATGCATGAGTTAGTTTTGTGTGGGCTATTCGTAGCCCAGCGAGAAGTATCTCCTTAAGGCGCGTTTTCTGGTTGCCTGAGCTCAAGGGTGAGAGTGTTGGCTTGATATTGTGCATGTGTTGGCGGCCGTGTTCGTCCCATTCGCGTTGTAAAAAGCAGCGATATGTTGAGTTTATAACAGTGAGATAGTCTGGTACTGGGCAGGCAAGATGGTTTCGGGCTGGCATGGTGATGCTTTCTTTTGCAGCAGCGTCGGCGAGGTCGTTCCCCTGGATGCCCGCATGGCCTGGTATCCAGAGGAAGATAACGTGTGACTCCGCTGGTAGTGATGACAGTGTGGAGAGGATTTTGTAAATAAAAGGGTGCGAGGAATTGTGTATAGCTGATATGGCGTGCAGAGAAGAGCTGGAATCGGTGCAAATTACAGTTTGTTTTGATGGCATGTTTCTTTAACATGGCAAAGTGTTGAAAAGATTGCCACTAATTCTGATGCGTGTACTGCATGATGATCTGAGAGGCATTTGGCTTTTTAGATTTTGGCTTTTGGCATTTGGCTTTTTTTACGAATGTACCCGCATGTACCCGGCGGAAGGGCCGTGCCCCGGAAACGCAATCGGAACAGGGGTTGGGCCCAAGCTCCGGACGGCGCGACGGCAGGCGCACCACCTCCGTTACGCCCTGAGCTAGACACTCGCCGAGAATGTTCTCCTCGGACATCTCGGCGAGGGCCGGGACGTACACGACCGCCTGAACAGTGTTCAGGCGGTCTGCCATCACAACTATGACGTCTCGCACCAGAAAGCAATTCAGCCTTAGAAGCGCGAACGCCTGATGGGCGCCGTGGACTTTTATCAACAGAGCTGCCGAGTGAAGGGGTTTGGCCCCCTCCACCTCTCCAACGTTGTGCTCTATTTGGCGGGGCGGATCGCGAATGGGTTAAGGGTGGCAAAGTTTTTTCCGTCACTATTTTCTATTAAGAGAAACGATGGTCCGTCCGGCAGCTCGGGTGACGGGGGAGCGTGGGCCCAACGGCGGGGGTGGGTGCCGGCGCGATGGGGATGGGGACTCGGGCAGCATGTTTGGTGTTTGGTGATTTTGGTGCTTGTGTTGGGTAGAAGTGAACGCTAAAGGCTCAAGGCTGACGGAGTATGGGTTTAAGGCCCGGCAGTGTTGCTGAAGGCTGTGTGTGTACCTTACGGATTCGAAGGGACGGCTGCACGAAACAGGAAAACAATCGACGATAACTGAACTCTTCACACCTTGCACAAGAAATCAAACTTAATCGATGTCAATCTCTGCGAAACTAACGACTTAGCCCCTCGTGTTAGACACTAGACATAAGAGGTGGAGGTGTCTGTCACGCATTTCCCATCAGGCGCATTGACGTGGCATGCAGTTCAGTCTGCGCATGCGCGTAGGGTGCTCATGCGGCAGTCTCAAAGCACTACAGGATGCAGGGCTGCCTGCGGTCTCTGCGCGATTTGACAGATGACGTCATCCGCACAGGCGTGCTGTTCTCATTCTTCGGCGCGACACTTAAAACGCAGTGCAATGCGCTTATATTCAAGCTGATGATCCATGCCGTTGGATTGGGGTCAACACTTCTTCAGCAGCTCAGTTCATTTAGCGTCGAAAGCAGTTCGGCCGACCTCCACGGAGGCAGCGGAGGAAGGGGCGGAGGGGGGGGGGGGGGGCTTACGGGACTACGGAACTGAAATTTGTACAAGGAAGCCAGACCCAAACCGTGCTTAACGGCTCCTGTGGATGCGAGTGCTCTCCGCATGGAGTTACACTGTCCCGGTTATCATTCATGCCTTTGCTCGACTGCGTTGTAGTGCCATCGACAGAGACCCCGCGTGGCAGTGCATGATCACTTTGCTCCCCTGAATAGGGGCAGACCTGTGCTTATTTGTGTTGGCATTGCTTCATACTCGCACAAGCGCGACGATGTTCATCAAGGAGCAGGTTCGCGGTTTTTTTACCAAGGTATTGGCAATGAAATATATACCTTATATATATATATATATATATATATATATATATATATATATATATATATAATAGCCATGCAAAAATTCCGTAGAAATTGATGTCAGCGTAAAAACTGATCGTAGCATGCATTTCGGCGTCACCCATTGTAAATAGTTTTACAATTTTGTCGCTTTTGAGGTCAGGAATGCATACTAAAGACATGTGTTGCAAATTTTATCAACAAGGTCCTCAATGTGGTGGCTACAGCTCAATCACTTTAATTATCCCAAACTGAAGAACGCGCGTGACTTATTTAGAGAAAGCCTCATGTCGTTTATGTGCCACTCTTGATATCGCATGCAAGATGTCGCAGACCACATTGGCCGAAACACCATAATGCATATTGAATGAACGCAACAGCTTTCATGGCTTTCTGGTTGTTGGTTTCCCCCACGGACCATGCCGACCTCTAGCAGCACGGCCGCTCTGATTATTGGGCCGCGATTGTATGCGGCTACGGCGGGCCTTTTCAGTCGGCGTTCCTCAATGCCACGGTGGCTGGCCCTCAGTTGGGCTTTGAGAACCGTCAGTGATTTGCGGCGTCTTGCCCCAAGTGGGCCGACGCCTCCGCCCTTCTCGGAGAAGGCGTGGAGCTGTCACCCCCGGGTTCTCGCGGGGAAAAGTCAGGAGCCATGTCGCTCCTGTACGATGCCGATGATTACACCAAAAACAGGTGAGTGTGACGGGTGTCATCTAGAAATGCTTGTGTATGCAAAAGCTGACGTCCTGCGTGGCGGTAAATTTTGGCATTCTAATCTGAGCGAGCCACATTCTTTAAAGGCTGCTTTAGAATATAGGACAACTGAATGATTAATGAATCATATATCAGGTGTTTATTTTGTGTGCCTTCATTGGCAAGCAGTTGCGGTTGCATTTAGCTCCGAGAATAGACCGTAGAAATGGAGATAGAAAGTTGGTTTTTAAAGGGTTTTCATGCGCTTGGTCATGAAACGCATGAAAAGTCTTAGAAATGCTCTCCATGGAGCTTGGATTGCCTTGAGCTTTCTTTACAACTCCAACGTCGCTGTTCTCTCCTATCCGTGTTCTACGTCATGTTCCAGTCTGTCCGCTTGTAATCCTAGATTTACACTTCCTTCCTCGTTGAATCACAGTCTTATGTAAGTGGAAAAGATAATTTGGAAGGTATTTTTCAGCCTCCTCTGCGCCCGATACATTTCAGCTTTTTCGTAAATAGTGCTCGTACAGATGTTAAATGACGATCAATAATATTGCGTCCTTGCACTAATCGTAGAGCAATACTTTCGGCTCGCCTGTTTACGGACAGTTACAGCGATGGAGAGAGCGCCCGTGACCTGTGGGACATTTTCCCAGGCGTCTTGTTGAGAGGTGTGTATATTGTTTCCAATGCATTTTCTGCTAGCTTGGCGATCAACGGATTTGTGCCCGTGATTTCCTTCTACTCAAAAATTACGTAAAGGCACCTACTCATACTAAAGGGACTTGAGCACAAAAGGAGTTTGAAAAATGCTCTGCAAACGTCAACTCACAGCAGCCCATACCGCTCACTCCACTTACGAGTACGAGCTATTCGATTGGCGCAGCTCTTGACCATTTATTGCACACAGTGGTCATCAGGAGCATCAGCGATTCAGTGACTCATCTCATCAATGATTCACATTGTCAGTGATTCACATGAAAGGCAGCAGGGAAAGAGCCACCCTGTGAGGTACCAATATTTTAACGAAAAAAAAACTAGTACAAATCTATACACAAATGAACCTTCCAGCGGCCGCCTTTGCCGCATTCCTTGCACCAGAGCACGATCTGCTCATGTCAGGCACATCGTTGGCACTATGTTTCACGATGAGCGTTCGTCTTTTGTGCGCTGCGCCGATGAAACACGACTATGAAACTTTCTGTCAACACCTTGGGCGCGTCGACATCCGTCTGCCCAAGCTGAGAACGGCTGCATTGGCAAAGCTTACGCAGTTATGCTGCGGATGGATTCAAGAAAATGAATTCTCGTCAGGCAAAAGGTTCAGCTGTGTTTTTGAGCCACTGGCAGTTATTGACAGCTTCCTAAAATTTTGTACAGATGAAATGGTTCCCTTTGCACATTCATTTGCCTGATGCATATTACGTAAAAAAATGTTGATGCCGTAGTTCGGTAAGGGCCTTACCGCAAGGTATTTTGTTTTCCCGGTAATCGATATTTTGTATTTGATGCTCAGCTTCGTCTCATCACATGACATGACAGTGACTCCACAAATAACACCCATACCGCAATTATTTCCGGTCACTGAAATGTACACATGACCTTTTTGATTCAGATGCATTCCTCACTTCTGTTACTCATTCTATTTGGTCTAAACCAACATGCTATGACAGTGAGTCTGTCGTATCCTTCCCGAAAGGCAACTTTATGGCGGGTGACACTAGCAGTATACCATCAGGCATATACGCTGGACCATGGGCGTGGCTTCGCAAAAAAAAAATTGGGGAGGAAACAGGCTGAACAGTGAAAATAACTTGACCTACTCCAAAAGACGACACAAGTAGGTTTCTCCCCGGATTTGGCCCTCTTTCATTTACAAGTTTTTTTTGGGGGGGGGAGGCTGAAGCCCTTTCCCCGACTGAACGGCAAACAACAACCCTGCACTTAAGCACCCACTTTTTAGAAGGCAGTCGGCTTGTTCGCTGTTTGAAGATGTCACGTTAACCGTTTTACGGCACCGAGCTACCCACCAGCATTGGCTCCATGCTTAAACTCATTTCCGGGCCCTCTGGTGAAGGATTCGTCCCCCCTCCCCCTTCCCTCCCCCGCCCGCCTTGCCACATGCGCACGCAAAAACTCCATCGGATAATTTGTCCTTCACGATAACCATGCCATAGTTGGTATATTTGGCAAATTTCCGCTAGCGTACATGTCTGTGTCGACCATAGCCAATTCAGCCATTGTAAACAGCACGGTGCTGTTCTCAGATCGCGCGACGCTCAACATGCAGATTGTATGAGGTGCAATGATATGTAGCTTGCGATAAAGGACGCTAGTTTTTTGTTAGCTCTGTCTCGTCACAGGACAGTTGCAGAGCACACGGCGGAACGCGATCTCCATCTTCCTTAAACTGACATTAGCACGTGTAAATCCCCTGCATGCGTCTTATCGTCGAGTTCAAAATTGCTTGATAATGGCAACGCAAATCTGTTTCAGATCATTGTTAGCATCGGCGGCACCTTTCCCTCACACCTGGTTGCACCATTGCTCGTTATGAATGAAAAAGGATGGATTAGGTATAAAATCTTCCACCATGACTCGGGAATTAATATGCTATTTTTTGTTTTCAGCTACAGCACTTACAACAGCTATAGGCCTCAGACAAACCTACCGCTCACGTGAGTACAACCGGAGTGCAGACACTAACAGCTACAGCACTTACAACAGCTATCGGTCTCAGACAAACATACCGCTCACGTGAGTACAACCTGAGTGCAAACACTAACAGGTACGCGATTACTGCCTATACATTTGCATAATTTGTCGAATATTCACATCATTTAGCGAACGCAGGACTTCAGAGCATTGCGCGGCCCGTGAAAACATGTAGTCTTCAATTTGTGGGAAGGAACACAAGTACGGTACGTGAGGAGCACTGAGGGCGCAGACTGTAATCGCGAGCATAACAAGCGATGCGCTGCTGGATCAGTTACCGCAGCACGGAACTGTCTAGGTTACGTGGCGGCGAAGTTGGCCATCCGGGATGGAGGGCGACGCGTGTCGGAGTGGTCTAGTTATCGAGTTCCTGAGGATTAAGTCGTCCCCTTAAAACGAATGTAAAAAGTGGAAGGCCAAAATTTTCATTGAAAATTCATACTCAAGATAAACCGCAACTAAGATGCCTTTACCGTATTATATTAAAACTACTTTCAGCACAGGAGTACCAATTCATTCGAGCCGTCCAGACAAAACGCACGTGAAGAGGTACTACAGTCTATGATACTTTTCCTCTGTCATCAATTTTCATCCACGAACAAAAACTAACATTATCAGCGAGACGGACATAGTCTAATTCGTCTTGAAAATATGCACCGCAACTCTGGCAAACCTCAGGTCAAGGCGATCTATATTTAACGGTTTTTTATTGACGCAAGTCAGTAACAAAAACACTCAAAATTTGCTATGGCCGTCTGGAATCGCTTATGCGACCCTCAACATCATGTTTTGCGATCCATTTTTACCGTACCAAACAGTAATGTTCGAGGCAACCCGTCGAAAGACGAAGATGAAGAAAACTCCTGTAGAGCGAAAGAGAACAAAACTCTTATAGGGCGAGGGTAAAGAGAACTCAGTTGGGGCGAAGGTGGAGAAATCTACCCGAGGCGATGGATAAAGGTGACACAGAAGCCAAGGCTTCTTCTTAACGCTGGGTTAGTTTACATCATCCTTGCAGGTCATTAAGCCTCTCTTCAATCGATGGACGCCGGAGGCCATGACCTGAGGTCCGAGAGCCACGCTACGGAACATCCGATGGTTGGGTGGTCACGTGTAGCCCACTGAAGAGTGTCACGGTGGTTAAGAGATTGTAGGTGAACATCACCTCTCAAGTTGACGCTTTACTTTGTACATATGTAGCCATTAAATTAAGCGTGTCGAATTTAAGCTTCTAGACCTTTCCCCTTTTTTTAAAATAAATTTGATCCGAACTCTTTGAATGGATGGATTTCTGAGATTAGTGCTCACGCTAAGCAGTGCTTGCTCTGTGAGCACTGAGCACCGCCATCCGATCACGCAATTCCAGGCAACGGCAGAATCTTGTGGCGAAAGCTTAACATGCCGCAGTGCCCGGCACGGTCCGTCCTGCCCTCTGACGTCAACTGACCTTTAGTGCGACCGCTGCCACCAGCCGCAGGCCATACCTGTCAAGGGAAAATAGGGAGCGCGACTCGAACCCACCCTGCCGCGGGTTGGTGGATCGTAAGACAGGCGCTCTAACCAACTAAGCCGCCGTGACTGATAAACGAGACGGACGGACAGCTGCTCGTCAATAGCAGACATTTTTCATTTCGAAATAACTGTTCTTACGGCGCTTGCATTTCACATGCCAGTTCTGATCCGCCACTGCTAGAATGGTTAGCCTTCAGCGCTACTTACTTCGCTTTAATGCGTCAGTGGCCGAAGTACTTGTCCAATGTAAGTTGAGATAAGACTATTATTTTTCGGGTTTGTACCTCAAAACTTTATCCCAATGACAAACATTGTTAATGGACACAGCGACATCCAGTGCAAGCCAAGCAGCTTAGTTTCTTGGGAGCAGACACTCCCTGCCGTCCTCTTCAGCGCAGCATCCTCTCCGTCACACATGCGGCGAGTTCATTTGGCCGCTCCAATCTTAACTCGATCCACCGGCTGGGTGTCGACTTGGCACGACAGCTGGCGCCTGACTATGGCGGCCGGTGAGAGCTCGCTTCTCGTTTTTCCGAGGATATATGCGGCCCTCCCGTCAGCTGCAGGGTGACGGGAAGTCCCATCCTATCCCATTCAGGTGTGCCTCACGGCTCACTCGTGTGAAATCATGAAGAGAACTGTCTCAGATTACAGGTCGCAGGAAAGGTTTTCTGCAAGCGCTCAAACACAGTAATCAAGCTCAACTCCTCCCCTTTCTACCGTCAGATGAGACCGAATCTAGGGCTGTCCATGATGAGGATTCCACTTTC